CGGAGCCAATTCATCACTGCGAGAGATGGCAACTTTTCTGAAGCAACAGCTTTGGCAGCAGTGGTCCAAAACATACCTGACGGGCCTTCAGGAGCGCAACAAATGGCTGCTCTCGAAACGCAACCTTCAGCCCGGCGATCTCGTCCTCGTTAACGAAGACAACGTACCACCGCAGCAGTGAATACTAGCACGATTCGTTGCAACCGCAGAAGGGCCAGACGGCCATGTACGGATTAATAAAATTTAAATACTACAAATTGTAATAATAAAGATTCGAACTATAATTATTAAGTTTATAGTTTATATAAAATACTTAACCTAATAATACTAGTTAAAATAGTCAACTTAATCTTTTACCATAATTTAACGAAATGAATTATACTTACCCCTCTTTGTAAATTCATGCAGACATTACAACTATTTTTCGCCGTTATTGTATAAAAACCGGTCGCATACTCACACATATAATTGACTTTCGGTACAGGCAATTGGTAATTTCATAGTACAGTCTTTTTCTTAAAAACGCTTGAGACTTTTTACGTATTTAACCATTTTTTTTCAATGCAACCAAAACCGCCTACAAATTTACGAACTAAAAGCATACCTAAAAAATACGTTAACCCTTAAATAATAAAACTTTATACAACCAAGGATTTAATGGGCGAACTTTAATCACCTAATCCAGAGCTTAAAGAAACTCCATTCATCCATATTGACATCTACTCAACCAAACGACATATGGTAAAGAAAGCAATAAACAAATTTTCTAAATTGGCCCAAGCCCGAAGCATTGAATCAAAAGCAACATATAAGATATATATATTATATAAATTTTTAATTCTCAATTAATAAAATTTATGTAAATTATGAAAGTGCAGTTGCTGAATCAAATTGGCAAAGTCCAAGAAGCAATAGAAGGATGCCTTATTATATACGGAAAAGAGTAACGTGCAAGAGTCATTCAGTGTATTTGTTGAAATGACAAAAACCACGTTTAAAAAAACCAAAAATCCAGTTCAAGGAGTATCTCAAAAAAGAAGGAATCACAGCGCAATTGACCGTGTCAAATTCACCCAAATGGAGGGGAGTTGCAGAAAGAAAAGCCCGCTCATTCATGGAAAAGCCACCAAAGATTATGAGAAATTCATGTCAGGCAAAGACAGAAATAAATGTATAGTCGCCAAGCAAGAAGAGTTGAAGTCACACCAGAAGAACAGCACTTGGGAACTGGCAGATATACCTGAGAAAAGAGAACATATTGAATGTAAATGGGTATTCAAGGTCAAAGAGGATGAAGAGGGAGTTGTACAGCTAGAAACTCAAGATTTTTCACAGAAACTCACAGAACTTTTGTGTTCCCCTATACAAACGCTGACCCGACGGCTCGCCATGTCGAGCCTAAGGTCGTACGAACAAGATGAATAAATAACCGACAACAAACACAACAACACCCAGCGGAACAAGGCAACAACAACAGCGAACGAAGACGGACAAAGATAATAACACAAGCACAGGTGCAGCTAAGGAAGATTCAGGGACTCAACGCAAGTTCAGCTTCCTAGACGCCCTTATGCCAGAGAAGTGAGCGCTAATGAAATGGTTTTTGAACCACCCTAAATTTTTCGACAGTGACTGCACTGAAGAGTCATTAAGCTTCAATGACAAAAACTCAACTAAAACACTATGGTACCATTGGTTGCCGAAAGAGAATTTGTTTCGTATTGTGTTGGATGCCAAATTGATTTATCCTCGAAGCACTAAACGAAACATATTGTCAGTCTCTGCTTGCCTTTTCGATCCCCTTAGATTATTAGCGCCACTAGTCACCAAATCAAAAATCTTATTGCAAAAGCTTTGGATCCAAAAGCTAGATTGGAGTGAGTCGATTTCATTGCGCCTTGACACTAGCTGGCAAAAAGCCAACTTACTTCCGCTTTCATCTATTAGCATTCCTCGGTACGTAAACCTAGAGTCCAGTGCTATCTGCCAAATACATGGCTTCTCCGACGCTTCAATAAGAGCGTACGGATGCTGCATATACATACGAAGCCAATCTGCTAGTGGTATCAAATGTATACTGTTTAATGCAAAGTCTAGAGTGGCTCCGCTGAGGACCAAGTCGGACTCTGAAATCGTGTTGCATTGGATTAAAACACAGCCATCCACATTACTAACCTTTGTAGCAAATATAGTGATTAATTCGATTGAATAATTCGATATAGTTTGGCGGTCCACAGTTCCTCCTAGAAGGCCCCGCTTTGTGGCCAATTAACACTCACTTCCAGCACTCTCCAGAAGACGAAGCATTCGAAAAGAAGAAAAATACTTTCCCACTAGCTGCACATGTGAAAAAAATGCAATAATAGACCTTCTCGAAAAAATCTCTTCTCATCAAAAATTGCTTCGTATGCTGCGAATGAAATCCAAAAACTGACTAAAGGGTACCACGCTACCCGCAAACTTGCAAAAACTTAATCCATTGTTGCTTGAGTACTCGAATAAGTCGCTTTTATTCAAATTAATCCGAGTAGCCAAATTCCCATTATTACTTTAAAAAAATTCGCACTTCGCTATCACTTATTTACGGATCCTGCACTTTCGAAATCACCACGCTGGGGCAAAAGCGTTGGTTGCGCTACTCCGAAAACGCATATGGCTGATTAATGACAGAGAAGCATGCATTAGAATCGCAAGAAACTGTACACACTACTTTCATTGCAAGCCAAAGTTGCAAACCCAAACAATGGGAAATTTACCAGTCAGAAGACTTCGAGCGCTACGACCCTCTCCTATATGTGGAGTAGATTTTTGTGGTCCAATATATACAACTTCAAAAATACGACCACCCGTAAAAACATATATAGCAGTTTTCGTTTGCTTCATTTCAAATGCAGGTTTCGGCCTTACCTACTAATTATTTTATTTTCGCCCTAAAAAGGTTCATTGGTCGCCGAGGGGTGCCACAGAAAAAATTAAACGACAACGCAACCAACTTCGTCGGCGCCGACCGCAAGCTGCGCGAGCTGAAGGAGCCATTTCTCGCGCAAGCTCCAGACCTGATGGGATTCGCCGCCAAACAAGGATTTGCCTTCGGCTTTATAAAACGGCCGATTATGGGAGGCGGCGGTGAAGTCCACCAAGTATCTGATGGTTCGCGCACTCGGCAACGCTCAACTCACAGCGGAAGAGCTCTCAACTCTACTGGCCGAAGTGGAGGCCATTTTGAATTAGCGTCCCCTAGCAGTATTGAGCCAGGACCCCAACGACGGTGAATCACTACCTCCAGCACACCTCCTAATCGGTTATTCTCTGTGATCACTACCACCAGCACAAGTGCCAACTAGGACGATTCGTCGCAACCGCAGAAAGGTTAGACGGCAAGGTACGAGTTTATTAAAATTAAAATACTATACATTGTAATAATAAAGATTTGAACTATAATTATTAGGTTTATAGTTTATATAAAATACTTACCCTAATAATACTAGTTAAAATAATCACCTTAATCTTCTACCATAATTTAATCTTTTATTATAATTTAACAAAATGAATTATACTTACCCCTTTTTGTAAATATATACTTATATTACAACTATTACTACTATTACTATTTTCATGGAAGCTTTCCTAGCATTTTCTAGGCCGAAGTCTATGCTATAAGTCGGTGTATAGAGATAAACCTCCAACGCGGCAATCGCAATAAAAGTATTGCCATACCCAGCGATAGTCAGGCGGCACTAAAAGCGATCTCTGCCTATTAGGTCAGATCGCTTCTAGTGCAGGAGTGCATAGAACGGCTGAACAGCCTATCAGACCACAACCGAGTGCACCTTATTTGGATGCCTGGCCACAGGGATATAGCCGGGAATGAACTGATTGACGAGTTGGCCCGCTCTGAAGCCTCCACAAAAATGGTAGGACCAGAACCATATACCCACATACCATTAAGGAGCTGCTCCGTAGGGAGGAAAGAGTGGGCAGGGAGAGGTATAGGCAACAACTTCAAGGCATGCGCCATGCCAGGTTGCAAATGGGGAGTTACGACCTCAGACGGTTTAAAGGCGTAATCAATCTCCCGAGGAACAAATTCCGGCTGCTTGTCGCGTTCTACTTCGACCATTGCGTGCTCAGTAAGCATCTATGCAACATAGGCTTAGTCTCTTCTGCAAACTGCCGGTTCTTGACATGGAGCCGGAAACCCCAGAACATCTGCTGCTGGACTGCACAGCAGTCTGCAGACGCAGAATTAAGGCCCTGGGATCCATATTTCCAAACAGGGATCGTAGCGCTTCACAAGCACCAAGCAGAATATTGGATTTTATCAACATGCTGGGGCTAGATGAGTTGATATGACTTAGGGGGAAGGAGGGCGGTGCATACCTCTAAACTAATCTATCTACTAAGACAGCAGTGTTGCAAATTTGTCAAAATATCACGTTCTGCGTAAATTTCTGGCAACACTTGCAACAGTATCACGTTCTTCTGTCACTTTTTACAATTTATGCAAATAATTGGCAATTGAAAGTATGCTTAATCGCTTAACTAAAATGATTAAAGCTAATGGCTTTTGGACAAATTACTAAAATATTACATGGATTCGAAAATACTCCAGTACAACTGTGGCCTCTGCTGGAGAGGACATACATTTCCCCCGTGCTCGTGGGAACAAACATGAAAAAAATTTTAAAAAATACGCAAGAAAGTAGGAGTAGAGAAGGCGGACAAATTGTCCACCAAGCAGCGCTCGAACAAAACGACGAAAAGAAGAAACTGATGTAGATCTTGTCATTTCCAAGAGATGAACGAATTTCAGAAAATGGACGAAAAGGCAGCATTGGAACCTGGCCCAGAAATAACAAAGCAGCAAACTTTGGACATCTTGGGGAAGCTGATTAAAGACCTGAGAGGGTTTTGCTGATCCGAAAGGCAATGTCAATAAGTCGATCAAAAATCTGCTGGCAAGCATAGAAGGGGTTTTCGAAGAACGCGAGAAGCTGGAGATGGAAGAGCAAGCCAAACACCAGACGATGGTTTCACAGCAAGTAAGGGCAATAACAGTAGAGCCAGAAGAAGAGCTGGACACTGGAGTCGTTGGTGACGTTGTATCGGTTGATGGAGACAACGGAGCAAGTGGAACTAGATCTGGAAAGAAGAAAGAGCGAAGCTCTCCTGATCTACCGGACAGCCAAGTTAGCAAGAAGAAGGACTTGAAACGTAGCCCTCAACACAAGAAGGATGATCCTAAAAAGTCCGAACAGAGCATCGTCAACGACAAGAAGCCGGACTGGAAGAAATTGCTATCGAGAAATGAAAAGAGGGAGATACGTAAAAACAAGCCCCTTGGAAAACATCAGAAGTCTTTGCCAAAGCCAACACCCAGAAAATCGCGAAGATCAGCTAAGAACGGAAGCGTTGATCATTTGCCCAAAGGAAAAGGTGATGTATGCCGAGATACTCTCTAGGATCAATACGGCTTTATCCAAGGACCAGGTCGGTAACAGATCTTGATGATCCGACGTCAAAAACGACGTGTAGTAGCCTACAAGAGAAGAAAGCTGGAGATGGCTGCGAGATACAGAAAGATGCCATCAAAATCCGTCCAGCCTACAGAGAAACTCAGACAGTGCTAAAGACACTGCCAGCAGCAATAGCGGAAAAAGTTCTTGAAGAAATAAGCAAAGTCAGGGTAGGGGTTAACTGCAGGATTAGAACAGTAAAAGGCCACGACGATGATTCAAATGTTGGCCCTATAGACACGTTGCCGTCCAATGCATGAGTGAAGTTAACCGATCGGAACTGTGCATTAAGTGCGGCCGAAAAGGGCACCAAGTAGCTAGATGTCCAAACACGGCAAACTGTTTGCTATGTGCTGAAAACCCGTCCCAACGGATAAACTCATCAGGCCGGCTCTAATCGATGCCCGGTTTTCCAAGAGGCACTCAAGAAGATAACGGACAAACGAGCATGAAGATACTGCAGATAAACATAAATCACTGTGAAGTTGCGCATGACTTACTTATGCAGACAGTACGGGAATTGAAGCGTGACCACACTATGCCAGGTAAACGTGGCACTAAGACCCTCGGTGCACTGGTGGAACAAGCACATCAGCGCTCTTCTGATCGCAGAGTACAAAAAGCTCGTCGATCCCTAAACAAAGCCATCAAAATAATAAGAAGAACTGCTGGAAAAGCTCAGGTAGACAAGGACTTGTGGGATGACCTTATAAGGTAGTTATGATGCACTTGAAATACCAGCCAATGCCGTCACCGACGTGTCCTCAACTCTTACAGAAAATCGCTGCACTTTTTCCCGTCTTTAACTACGTGTTAACACAGAACGAACTGGAGAATATTCCACCTGTCACGAGAGAAGAACTGATGGAAGCTTGTAACCGCGTCGGGAATAATAAAGCGCCGAAATTGGACGAAATCCCTTACATCTTAAAACATCCATCATTTCATTCATCAGAGAATTGAAGCAGTTGTCGATCCACCCTAGCAGAAAATCAATCTGGTTGTTAACATGGCCAAGGAGGTTGCGGATGACGGTAAATGATAGATGGGGGTGTTCGAAATTGACGTCATTCTTATTTATTTATTTATAGTTTATTTTCACGTACAAAAGATTATTTCTAAAGAAATTTCTTCCAGCACACCTAGTAAAATACTAGCTGCCCGCCCGGCTTCGCCCGTGGTACTTACATGTATTATATATATAAACCTTTTTAAGAATAAGTCTATCTATTTAAAAACCGCATCAAAATCCGTTTCGTAGTTTTAAAGATCTAAGCATACTAATAAACACAATACTTAAATAATAACTACAACATTACATAATTAATAAAAGTACATATTAATACTATACTTATACTTAAATACATGTCTCATACTAAGGAAAGATAATGTTCTTGTGATATTTTGCAAGTATTTAATGGTATTGAACTCCTATTTATTTATTTATTTATTACAAGGTCAAGGCATGTCTACATTATTTTTAAACTATAAATAACATCGTACCTATGAAATAGTTTGTATGCGACACTGTGTTTAACGAAGATTGGCGGCGACTCGGAGAATAAAGAAACGGCGCTGTTTAAACAAAGTCGGCTTCCTTTGTCTTTGGCGCGCACCGCCACCGCTGCGGACCTGCGGCCTGCGCTCGCTGTCAATCTGAGTACGAACGTGAACGATGCAACACGTTTATCCGCGCAGATTTTTCCATCACGCGTTTAACGCAAATTCGTTAAATAACAAAATCAGAAAACTATTTTCACTGCTATTTATTACTATAGTCGATCCGCGATGGTTCTTGACTTACAAAAGTGCACCAGCGAAAGCAGCAACTGAACATGTGACCAACAAAGCATCAGTAGTGAGAGCTACTTTACTACGACTGATGTCGATTGTTTGGGGTCCAAAGCAGAATCGGAGATTATTACTGTCATCAGTAGTCACATCAGTACCGACTTATGGAATATTCATCTGGGCAGACGCGCTGGACACCCAAGATTCATGGCGAAAGCTGGACCAGTATATCGTCTGAGTGCCTTAAGAGTAGCCAGCGCCTTCCGCACAATATCTGAGGAGGCAATATGCGTTATTTCCGGAACTCTGCTACTTTGGGTTCTTGCTGAGGAAGACAGAACCTTACCATCGAAAAAGGTCAACCACACTGAGCGCTGTTGAACTCGGGACAAGATTAAGGCAAAAGAGCATCGCGCGTTAGCAACTACAAAGGGAAGGCGCAGGAAGGGTAGATGAACATACCGTCTAATACCACGGATTGATGTTTGGCGAACCGGATCATGGCGAGGTCAACTTTATCTGGCACAGATGCTTTCAGGACACGATTGCGCGAGGAACTAGAAACAAATCAAATGGAATAATCCAACCAGAGACAAAGTAGAAACAATGTTGTCATACAAAACTGCCTGGAACGCCATCAGCATATTTGCAACAGAACTTCTCATAGATTTGCGGTCCAGACAACTAGAAGAAAGAAAAATACATGTTAGCTATCGGAAGAAGAGCAGTAGCTAAATCCTCTCCCACGAAATAATGTCTAGGGGCGGTTCCGGGGGATGTGAGGCCGGAAGAAAGGGAGTTTAGTCGGAACTAACATTAGCAAGTCACCAGGCTAATGTCAAGACACATACCCAGTGCGAAACACCTAAGGTTGACATGCGTAAATGTATTTCCTCCTCTATACAAAAACAAAAAGCTGAGACAGTGAAGTAGTAGTGGGTGTTGGAGTTTACATACCTTTGAATTATGCGAAAATACCAAACAGTTTTTACATCCATTGAAATGCAAAAGTGGAGCATATTTTAGAGGCTATGTTTATTAATAAAATTCTTGATTTGCAAGGTGCAAGACATGTTTATTTACAAAGATGTGTTTATGTGTGAAAATTGTAGGAGCTTTAAAAGTAGTAAAATAATTTTAAAATTTTTAAGGAATAGTGACCGTTTTGCAAGTTTCATCAATACGAGATCTTAGTACTACCAAGTATGCCATGATTTTGATAACAGCAACACAACGCCTCTTGATAGAATATACGAGGCTCTGGAATATTTTCAGTGGTATGCTTTGTCATGCTTGCTGCAGTACGGTCTACAACTCGTTGTTGTTTTCGTGTTTATCATGGCACACGGCTTTCTAGACGTCTGCTCAAAGATCTTCAAATGCACAAGCACACCGGTAGGGTGGCAAAGGATGGTTTGGGTCAATGGAATACAGCGGCATGCCCCTTCAGCAAATGATATCATAACATTTTGCTTATAAGCAAAACAGCCCCAAACCATGATACTCGAACCGCTTCAAGTTTAGGGGCGTCTTACATACTGACGGGACCCTTTACCGCTGTATAGAACCACTTTTGACTCGCGATCCACAAGAAGTTGCGCCATTTCTCAATCGGTCAAGTGATGTGTTCTTTTACAAATTCAATGCGTCGTGCTACATGATTTTATTTAATAACGGTACTGTTCTGTTCTGTTGGCTCCGATCTCCACAGACATCTTACGACTTTTTATGAAAAATTCTCAGAAAGAATCCGCCTTGTGCCCCTTTTTCGTCTTTTTCATATAAATAATTGCATTGCGAATCATTGTTGTTGCACACCTACAAGTCTTTCCCTTCTTTGTAGGTAATCTTACGACTTTTTATAAAACTTCCCAGAAAGAATCCGCCTTGTGCCTTTTCGTATAAATAATTGCATTGCGATCATTGTTGTTGCACACCTACAAGTCTTCCCCTTCTTTGTAGGTAATCTTACGACTTTTATAAAAATTCCCAGAAAGAATCCGCCTTGTGCCTTTTTCGTCTCTTTATATAAATAATTGCATATCGAATCATTGTTGTTGCACACCCTACAAGTCTTTCCCTTGCTTGTAGGTTTTACCGGTGTTTATGGAAGATTAATCCATTCTCGTTTTCCTCACCGCAGTGCTTCCTGCGGCCCACTAAAAGATGCAGTCATATGTTTTGCCTTTGAATAACAAATAAAAAACATTAAACTTATTTTTGTATGATAACATTAAATATTTACATATAAATAACATCTGTAACAATCAAGGAATTGCTATGTACTATGGGGATTTTTGTGCAGCTATTTATCAACTAGTTGACAAAAATTTAATAGAGTCCTTTATATAACGTAAATAAAAGCAAACAAGGAAGGCATTAGTACGGGTGTAACCAACATTTTTACTCTTGCAAGAATTAAAGCCGGCTAAATACTTAGGTGTTGGAAATATAAACATGTAGTAAAGGTTCAGCTTCATTGTTCGAAGAAATCGTGAATAGATTACAATCAAAATTTGGTATCATATTAACTTATTTGAAGATCATAGGCTCACTTAGTTTTATTACTATATTTTACTTTCCTTCAGCGAAAATTCTACTAAATCATCCTCAAATGAGATACATGTGATATAAACACAACCGAAGTGGATAAAATACATACATAAGTTGATGTGAAGGTCAACTAAGGATCGGAATTCATTCTATTACGACGCCAAACCATAATATAATTTATAATGGTATCAGAGTACATGGGGCTAAGGCAATTTTCCCCGATTTCATCCATTTTAGGCAGAAGGATACACTGTTGTCAGAAAACATGCTCTCTCAATTTCATTATATAACTAAGCACATTAGTCGATATATGTGGTATAGATTCAACTGGAAGCTAAGGAAGTATTGACCCGATTTAACCCATTTTTACACAAGGATATATTACCATCAAGGAAACATTTTGCCGTTTTCAATAATATATCTCACAGATGACCAATTTTCTCGATAATAAGTTCGGAATAGGAACTAGGTACCACATATTCGTAACTTAGAGCTTGGAACAGTTTTGATTTGAGTTGGACAATTTAAGTCATAAGGTGGTACACCTTAAAGGCACTATAGGGGTGAATTTTGATGTCTTTGAAGCCTTTAGTTAATGATTTATAGCGCTTTTAATAGTTTTTAACAAAACCGTTATATGGGGAGTAGGTCTTAAAGAATTTCCCTAGGCGACTTTGGTTTATCGCCTTAGTGGTTTATGAAATATGTCCATTAGTACAATAGGGCGGGGTGACGCCCATTTCCTAATTTTTAGCCCACTTACAACTGCAACTCATCATTATTACAATACAAAGATTTATATCTTATTTAGTGCACAGTATATTTATAGGTTCTCGGATTTGGCGTGTTATGGGCGTGGAGGGCGAAAGGCGATCCGCACATCTACGAATTTGCAAAGGAACACGTGGACAAAGTTGATTAGGATATCTCATTTTTACTCAAGTAACAGCTTACCCAGACAGACAGACGGACGGTCAGACACTCACCGGGATTTCAACACGTCTCATCATCCTGATCATTTATATCTATATAACCTTATATCTAACTGGATTATTTTCAGGCAATACAAATAACCGTTAGGTGAACAAAAAACTAATATACTCTGTAGCAACATGTTGAAGAGTAAAAATATTTGGATTTCTGAGTTTGCATCTGCACTGGCACTTTGAAGTTTGTTGTTAACTAGCCACTAAATGTGTATGGGTAAAGTAATACAATTGTAGCAACAGAAGTTCCCATAGGGCGAAAATGAAAGTATGTTAGTTAGAAACCGCAACCGGTGCAGCAATTCAATGGAAATTGATTGTGCTACAACCATTTGCTTTAACCAAATGCGATTATCAGGCGCTGTAATATCTGGAAATGTGGTCCGTGAAAAAGCAAAGCAATTGGCCATTAAGATGAATAAGGATTTTAATCCCACCGCTGGCGGGTTATAGCGTTGGCAGAAACGTGAAGGTATTTCAGTAAAACAACTTCATGGAGAGGGAGCATCGGCAAATCTTTAAAGTTTTTCGAGCAACTACCTGATTTAATCAGAAATTACGACGCAAAAGACATATTTAGCGCTGACGAAAGTGCATTATTTTTTAAGGCATTACCTTCGTCAACATTAATTAGTTACAATGATAATTAAAAAGGATTCAATACTTCAAAAGATCGCAATACAACGCATTGGATGACATTATTGGGAAACCAAAAAATTTTAAAAAGGAAACTTTACCAGTGCTATACTTTTTACAGAAGAAAGCATGGATGACCCAAGATATATGGGCATCTGTTCTTAGTCCCTTTGACATTTTTTTTTAATTCATCGAAAAAATGTCTTTCTAATCATTGACAACGCTGCTCCATACAAACCAACGCACTTAAAAAACCCCATCAATTGTTCAACCAGAGAACTTAGAAGAACAAGAAGGTGCAAATTGAATTTTGTACGATGCTCGATTGGACGGCTAACAGAGCTTAAAAATTCCGAAACGGTGCGTTCGAGCTACGTAATAATTGCAGCAGTACAGCTACTGTGTTGCATATTTACTGATGTGCAGACAAAAATTTAATGTTGCCGATTATTTGATTTATGAAAAAAAATATATTTTATTTTTTCAATCAATTTTTACAAAATTAATAATTTATGTATGCATTCTTTGGTATGTACACATGGAGGAATAGAATCTTTGATATTATCGCTAATCAAAAAATACATGTGCGCGCACTGCTCTATATGTAAGTATGTATGTACAAATATGCGTATGACATTGCAAAATAAGTAATGCATACACAAATCTACTTACATAGATATATGCGTACAAATAACTCTACTCGGGAAAAACTGGCGCCCCCTAATAATGCCCACCACATACTCACCAATACACCACACCAGATGACACCACACAGGACAACACAACATACCATCTTTACATTCGTTTTCGTCTAAGGGCCTGAGCGCCACATCAACATTCGCATGTACACCTGATTCGACAAGGTAGCGATCTTACGCGCAACTGTTCGTTGACAACTGTTGGATATCGATACCTCCTGATTTTGGTCGCCATCAACCGAAAGTCGTTTCGCGGAATTGGATTCTCAACGCTCCCCTCGTCTACATCATACTATTACATATTATATAACATTTTTATTATAATTTTAAATAAACTTGTGGTTCAACCGAGATTATCAAAATAATAATTATATACTAAGTTTAATGGAAACTTTTATTTTAAAATTTGAATAAAATAAGAAAGGTGTGTGCTTCCCAATAAATTTGTTATGCAAATAAACAGTAAGTATGTCACCCAATAGAAAAAATACCAACATTGTTGTACAAAAATAACAATTCTCTCAAATATCAAATAGCATGAGCAGCGTCAGAAATCAATATGGCAGCCAAATCCTAAATTTGTAGTAAATCACACAACATTTTTATCTATGAACGCTGGCGCACATGCAATAAGCTAAGTCGCCTACAAAACACAGAAAAAAGTGACAAAAGTGGCCACAAAGCTTTTGTCGATTTAAAATATTTTACAATTCTAAAATATTTTTCCGTGAATTGCAAAAATCTGCGTCAATATGTATGCATTCTCACATATAAACATACATATTTACAATGATATGTAGGCAAAGCTGTTAGAGCGGCAAGGGATACGGTGACAATCGGAGAGCGTTCGTTTATTTTTCGGCACATCTCGGATTTTCTACCAACAACAATATGTTGTGACGTTATGTCGTCGCGTCAGTCCTTCGATAGATTGACCCTTTGACATAAAAGCAAAAAAAGTGAGCTTCGATCATTGGTTGACCGTGTCAACGGAGATTTCACATGATGTAATGAGTGTTCATATCTACATACATACAAGTATGTTGTTTCTACATGCAACAAATTTGCAAATATTTTTCTTTCATATTTCTTTACATGTACACATGATATGAAAATGCCGACGGCATAACACAATTCTGTACTTTTATGACTCCATAATGGTGTCAAGTACATTAATTATTTTAAGAAATATATCAAAATACTTTATTAGTAATAATTTAAAAGTATATTTTGATATATTTCTCATAATAAAGTAAAAAAAGAATTAACATAAAATAATTTAAAAAATAATAAATAATAGTTCAATAAAAGAGAATATATTTCAAATGGCATATCAATATTCCCAGTTTGGCAAACATATTATATTCTCTTCAATATTCGCCGATTGGTTATGTTCACCGCTGTTATAAAAGCGAGAAATGTTATTTGTTCCCCCTGCGTGTGAGGTGAACTCCTTGATAAATTTTACAAATGATCGCTGTCGAACCTGCACCTTCTCGTTCTTCTAAGTTCTCTTTTTCAACCACTTCCTTATTTATGCTCAAGGCATATTATGGTCAAGCAATAACACATAAGCAGATAATTACAATTGAGCAAGGAATGATGATGGAAGATTTTTCAAAATCAATCAACTTATACACAGCAATCCACCTAAGTAATATTTTTAATAGAGGATGTAGGCAATTTAATTTAACTTACTTCAAATAATTTTTATCCTTTTCTTAATAACTTTAGAGTGCAAGTTTATTGAAACCATCGTAAAGGGGGAGTAGAGAAAGAATCAGTTGATGGATGTAAACAATGCTACAGCTGAGAGGGGTCCATGGAGAAACGTCAAGTCCGCCTAGGGGTTGAGTTTCTATTTGATAGCCAAGATGGCCGACTTTTAACCGGAAAATGGTTGCATTTTGCTATTTTCTCTTAATTTATGAAAAAGTTGTCCAAAAAATATTGATTATATGTAAAACTTTAATATGTTTTCAAAATAGAATAAGTTTATTTTAATATATGTTCTTAAAAAAGCGACTATTATTGGCAAATTTCAGAGTAATTACGATATATATTTATGCCTTTTTTTAACTGTGGTAACTTAATAAATAATCACCACAGAAAAATGTAAGGTGCAATTAAGCAACCATGTCAAATAACAGGATGCGGAAAATGCTTATTCAACGAAACTGAGGGCAATGTTTAAAAATTTTGCAATACAATCTTCGTAAAATAATGAATATTTCATATTGCTTCTGATAAAACTGCTCAAACAAGAATTTTTATCAATGAGCAGGTGTGTATTAATGCGTTTGACTAAAAGTTGTTAATAAATTCAAATGCCAGTATTGCTATTGATTATTGCATAACAGTGTTGCGCAAGCTAATTTTATAATACTTTTTAAAAAAGAAATATATCTACCGTATTTTATTTACCCTTATAAAATGTTTTATACTATAAAGATATTGCAACTTCAACAAATTATTTATTTTAGGAGTCTATATATTTGAAAACTAAATTTAGAACTATAGAACAATATGGTAATTGATTTATGTAAAGAATTATATGTAAAATATTGTACATATTATAATGGCTATAGGCTGAAATACAGAGACAACTTCCTGATATGCCTACCGTATTTTATACTATAAAGATATTGCAACTTCAAAAAATAATTTATTTTAGAAGTCTATATATTTAAAAACTAAACTAAGAACTATATAATAATATGGTAATTTGGTATGTCAAAAGTTGTAATAAACTATTGTACATATATCCACCATTAATTGCTGATATATAAAACGTAAAAAAAATTTGTGATTAAATAAATCTATACTTAAATTAGAGCACTAGTAAAATTTCTTGATATAATTACAATAACAAATTTTGCTTTATTGTTTAAATGAATTATTATCACTTGTATGGCAATGATAAGTTTTGCTTTTTTGATTATATAAATTATTATTACTTATAGTATCAAATTTTGTTACAATAGTTATTTCTTCCCGTCCACTCATAGTTAAATTGAATTTTCAGTTTGTCCATTAATAAGTTATTTAAAATGCTTAAAAATATGCCGCATATTTACCTATATCAACATGGTATGATATTATATATTGTTAGCATTAAACATCAATTAATAACCAAAATTTAAAATATTTATAAATAATTATTTAGGCGTTTTCTGCTATGCGCAACCCGTTTTAACCCCTCGCCACCCTAACTCACCATGGCCGCCATGTTGGTTTTATTGTGAACGTACGCCTCAGAGGTGGCGAAACTACTGTTAATGGGACTTTCCCTACTCCCTTATACCATGATCAACAGCGATGAGTTTCTTAACGAAACTTTTATACCCATTTTGACGACGGCTTGTATTGCTATGGGAAACATAATTGCGAAAATACTTTCGATGGAAGATACGCCTGAGAACGGGATGGAAGTTCAAACTGTGCAAGTTATGCCGCCCAAAAAGAAGTTTTGATTTTATACATGTTCTGTGTAAAAATTTAAGCCTCTAAACAAATTTATTCAAGAAATTGAAATATTGAGCACTATTATTTTAAATTGAACACAATGAATATTCAATCTAAAGTAACAAATTTTTTCTAGTAATACGTAAATTCTTGTAACAACACGTTATTTTAATAAAAATGGGCAGTTTTCTTCTCCTTTATTTATATTCTCGAATGCTACAGCGACTGACATGTTGTAATCAGCATTTTTAAAATAAATTATAATTTTTATTCAATTAAAGGGTTTGTTCTGGCATAAAGGAAAACTTTGGTTGTATGCACCGATGATGCCGATTTATACATATATTATATAAGCGCTCTCAGTGCTTCTAAACGGGTTTTCCCGCTTATAAGCACAAATATGCGTGCATATTTGATAGTGCTTATATCTGGCGAATACTGTATTATTAGAATTGTTGATTAAACATATATATTTACACTATAGTATTGCTGTTTTATTAAAATAATAAATTGAGGAATAACACACATAAAATCGCAACAAATTTCAAACACGTTTTATTGCGATAGAGCAGACACGGAGGTTTTGCTGTCTGGAAAACGTGTAAGGTATCTTTGGAGACGTAAGAACTTAATCGAAATTAAACGCTTGTCGAACCACCAGCCATTTATTTCGTTATGAACCACTCCTGCATCAAATTCACTGCAACAACGGACATAAACACAGCAACTTTTTTATCATTTGAATTTCTTGAATACAACACCTGGTTCCAACTTTCTCTATTATAGCAGACTCTATTATTGTGTTTAAATTATGGATTCTGATTCTGTCGAATCAAACATATGACGAATTTTCAAGCATGAGGTGGGAGGTTTACTAATTTTATTTGCATAACCAAAGGCCGGACTTTGCCATTTCTTAAGTAAACCATTTGGTGTATTAGAGTTTGCATTGCTTAACCATGTCATAGTGCGGTATTCTGTGCCATCACAAATTTTTAGTCCGAATTGTATTCTGCTATCATTTATTTCGAGAACTTTCAATGCCTCCTTCCAATATTTCAAGTAACCGTTACGCTTGTTTAAAGGTATTAACTTATCACGGAGATGATTTACAATAACTTCTCGTTCTTCCGGGGCCTCACTTAATGATGCTCTATAAATGAGTTCATTTACAATATCTGTTGTAAACTGTTCAATAACAGTAAAGCGATTTAATCTCCACGCCTTTATATTACGATACAATACATATAAAGAAACCGAGAGTGTAACTATTACGGTACCTATGCCAATAATTACAAAAAAGCTCTTAATTTTGAAGTAGAATCTACAAAATGAAGAGGGATTTTCATTGGTTAAGGAAAAGCTTACAGTTTGGCCCTCATTTATTACAACATTCCATTGAGGGTTTTCTTCTATAAGAACTTTTGCATAGAATAATTTCAGTTTCCACCCCTGCCTTCCATTATAATATTCTATTTTGTCCATAAAATTAATTATATCTGTTTCGACGACAACAACCTTTTTATTGTTGCACTGGAATTTTTTGGACTGATTTTGTAGAATCTCCAAAATATATTTAAGTAAGTCAATTGTACCATCAATGTACATAGCTGGAATGCAGTTCGTTTTATTTTTTTTCTCCTCACAAATTATTAACTTATTTCGAAGGCTATCAACTTCCAAATTTTTTGGACTCTTCAATATATAAATTAACGCCAACACAATAAAAAACATTGCGAACAAACTAACCAATAAATATGGCTTAAAGCTTTGGTTCAGGCGCGATTGCGTTCCAACGTAGGATATAAAATCGTAAAATGTACGTTTTGATTTATTTAAGCACTTATTTGATCCTTTCGACAATGATAAGCAGACTTGTTGATGACTTTCACATGCTTTCGGTTTTCTAAAAGTTTTGTCACGAAAGCTTAACAATCTGCTTACTACTCCTTCATGACTTTTAAGTTCCGAAAACGTGGTACCAATTGGTTCTGGCGAAGTGTGAATTGAATAGTTTGTATCTCTTGAAAAATTATGTTCAACGTTATGACCTACATTCGTAGATATATGGCAACAAATATTTGGTGTCGAGTCGTTTTTGTATAAGGAGTACGCCGAACTGGTTCGAGGATGATTTCTTATAATCATTTTACAATTAGTTGAAAATGAATTCGATAATTCTTGGTTATATATGCTCCTATGTTTTGTTAGTGACAGACTATTAAACTTCATATCGTGCAGTGTATCCTTAATTTCATTTTGTTTAGATTTAAGTAACTTATTTGTTAGAATCCCACGTGTAGTTTCAGTTACTGCTACTTTAGGAAATCCCAAAGCTTTTAGTTTCTCCTGCAGTTCAGCATCGGATAGTTGCTCAATCTCATTTATCATTTTTAACGTTTATTAGGTGAAATATGTTCACAAACAAAAGCTTTACTTTTCTTTGATAGATTTTCTTATAGTTCGTTAAATCATCGTCCACCTTTTACCTCAAATATTAAATATTATTCTTCTTATTTTAAAGTTTTGTAAATCGACAATGTTTATTCAAATTTGTATAATCGTGATAACAATAAATAAAACCCGATTAAATTCAGAATCGGAATGTAAAATACTCCCGCGTTCCGAACATCAAGTTTTTCTTACATAAGAGCTGGTTCATAAGGAGATTTTAGTTGCCTCACCTCGTAATTTGTTGGCGAGATACTGATCAATAAGAACGAAGAGTACGGAGTAGCGCGTGTTCGGGAAACACGCATATGGTTCGTAGTTCGGAATTCCTCATCGTATTGAAAATTTTCCCATTTCTGTAAACGCGCTCTGTTTCAAAAAATTATTTACAATTTGGTTGGAAATTGGAATTTAGTCACAAGTGTACCGCTCTTTTCAAGGAACGCCATAAAAGAAAAAGGAACAACAGGTACTGTTCCTAGAAACAACCCCTGAAGTCGTCTGCATGAAGCGGAACCGCCTTCTAGGAACATCAAGAGGTCCGTTCTTGATTACGTCGACGACATTGGACAGTACGCCGACCAGACTTCGGATGCAACGAACTTTAGCCATGCACTGACCGCCATTCGCAGTGAAGCCATCAATACCTTCACCGACTCGCTCTCCGTGTATGACCAACTTGGAGCTCGAGTTGCCTCTAGAGTGACGCTTGCGCAACTTTTAGGTTTACGCACTATGTTTTTTCTAACAAAACATTAATTAATTAACAACATTTCTTGTTTTAAATAAAAGGGTATTTGAATAAATTCTTTGCGGTTAGAAGAAGCTGTTACACGGCTTTGCTCAGTTGTCACTCTGCGGTACCTGTACGATTTCGTATGAAAATGTACGCACGGGGTTAACTCTGCAGGAAGCCTCTAATTCGGAGTTAAAATGAATATGAGTGGATAGCGGATGATCTCCTGAGAAGAATTATAAGCATTTTGGTGAAAGAAAATTCTATTTTTAAGAAATTTTTATTCTTAATTCAAAATTTTCTCAACTGCACCTGCATGGACTTTGGTCACGTTTTAATCCAACACCGAGAGAATAGTAACAAAAGCGAATATGTAAAAAGTAATATTTTAGAAGTAAGGAAGGGCTATATTCGGATATAATAGAACATTTTATACTCTCTCGCAAGGATCCTGCCGGTTAAATACTTTCAGGTGTTGGCAAAACTTTTTATTAAGAAATATTGCAAAAGTATTCAACTTGCATTATTCGGCGAAAGGGTGAAAGGAGTACAATCATGCTTGTTATCTTAGTAGCTGTCTTCGATTGCTAATTTCTCTGCTCTCTTTTGTTCAAAAGCTTACACGTAAAGCAAGAGAGTATGCGGTATGCGGAAAAAAAAATTTCTCCTGTATAAAGGAATCATTCCACTCTCGCGCATGCCGAATAAATGACGAATTAAACGCACTTAGCTAATTTCATATTTTCGATTAAAAATGAACTGGGACTTGGCAATGCGGACAGTCTGCTGATATTCCCTATTGGGATTTTGAAATTTGTTAAGGAATATTAATATACGATACAAATATATTTATTTTATATATCTCTAGAGTACAAAAAACTGAAAACAAATGGCTAATAGCTTAACGGTAATGTATATCATATGATCATATTATGATAAATTTTGCACTTTGGATAGTATATCATAAAACCACTATTTATGCAAAGTTTTATCCCGGTATATTTTTATTAGTGCTTGGTTTGTATACGGTAAGGTAGAAGAATCATATGGAATGTTTATTCGAAGATAAGATTGTTTTGATATATTTTGTTTACTGAAACATAAGATTGTTTTGATGTTTGTTTGCTAATACTATGTTCGCACCGAATTGAAATCCTCTTGAAAACACAATTTGTGAATTGGGGAACCAAAGTCGTTCTGACCGACATTTTGTGTTTTCGATGAGTTTTCATTGACAGTTCACACATCTACTTGTTTACATTTGTTATGTACCCTACAAGAACAGTGACGGTAATCTGATGGGTAATTTGACAGTCATAGCTGAAAAAAATTTATCAGCGCGCAGAACAAAGTTTCTATCATTTTCTTAAAAACCTTGCACTCACTCTCATGTCTTTTACTGAGTAATTGCTGACCATAAATCCGTCATAGCTGAAAATTGTCAGTTATGACTGAAACGCTATCAGAAGTGAGAAAGTCTTTCGAGCAGTAGATAATATAATTTTTATTTCTTTAATAAATTTCAAACTTTTAATCAAAATTAGTTATAATAATATACTAAAATATAAAAAGGAATGCAACAAAATATATAATAAAATATGAAAATATAAACATAAATTTTCACTTTATGCCATCTCCTCCTCTCAATAGCTCTGCGTACGTCTTTCTCCAATCAGTGGATAGTTCTGAATTTAAAAATGCAAATGTATATTAACAATACTGACATATCAAATGTGAGTGTATTCATCAGCAGTTTCTTGTAGGGTACGTTTAGGCCAATTTTGGAATGTAAGCAAATTGTCAACTGACATTTAGGGCTGGCAAAGTATGTCTTTTAATAATATCGATTAAACTAGAGCAGGCACCGATTATAATAAGTGGAATGTAAGTTTTTAAAGGGTTTTCAGCGAAAACTGTGTTTGTTGGGTCACCGATTGAGAACCAATGCATTATACGGTCATATGTTCTATATATTTGTGCTATTTCTTGTTCTCTACTTATTTGCCTAATATTCAAGGGCAAGCATTAGAAGTCATTCACCACAATGCAGTTAATAATTGTATTTACATTGTGTACATACTTACATATTTATTGCTTGCTTGCGCTTTCTTTGTACACTTATGCAACCGCTATGTTTTCGTCCACGCAATTATATGAATATTTGTTTGTGCACATTAGCTAGTCCCATTTAACATGTACTAAGCTTAATATGTAAGCAGCCTCTTGCAATGCTGCGTTCCCATTTTTTTATATTTCTCTTTGTTAATAACTACATTATATACGAAGGAGCAATAGAGTAAAGTATGTTCTCTTTTTATGAACTATTTTTATATAACTTACATCCTCTGCGAATGACAGGCACGTTGCCGTGGTGCAGGGGCTTAAGTTGCAAGGCATTCCCGGCATCTCCCAACCGGTGTGGGCGGTGCTTGCACCCAAGGGTCGTAAGAAAAATTTGAGCAAAACAACTAAAACAAAAAACAACTACAACGATACAACGATTGGAACCCAGCAACAACAACAGCAAACGACTTTGGACTACGGAAACAACAAGAGCAGTGGTGCAGGTAAGGGCGAATCAGGGACTAAACGCTAGTTCAGCTTCCTGGATGCCCTTTCGCCAGAGAGGCGAGCGCTATTCGAGGAGCACGCCAGGGATGACGATGATGACATGCTCTCGTGCAGCGGCGCTCAGCAGACGACTTCTACTGCGGCCGCTGCGGAAAAAGAAAAAGAGAACTCCATGGAGACTCTCTCGAGCAGGAGCAACTGCTTGGATACAGAGGAGTCGCAACGGGCGATCACCGGTGGGGCTCATAAACGGAGAAGGAAGATGGAGGGCAGACTACCCCCCCTGCCACCAACAGGATGCCCGGGAGGACAGGACGATCCCAGAAGAAAGGGAATGAGCGGTGCCAGCCTGAAGTGGTACCTGAGGCACCTCCAGGAGGGAAGAACTCCGGAGAAAGCCGAAACCCTAGCGCGAAGCAGGGTGAGAGGTGACAGCACTTCCCCGGCTTCTGGAAAGCGAAAAGGTGGTAACACCGCGGCCATTAGGAAGCGTAATGGCAGCAATCGAGGCTACTGCCCAGTAAGCGCAACTCACCCCGCGGGCCGAGGTTGCGAAAGGGCAGCTCCCTCGACCACCCAAGTGGCTAAGCGGAAAAGCGGACAGCTGACCCCGCAGGAGCCGGCCAACACCAAGAGGCAGAGGGACAACATCGTACAGGCGACTGGTGGCCACCGCTCCGCCCCAAACCCCCCCTGGCCAGTGGAGGGACAGCGCAGGTATGCGGATGCCCTCAAAGGCATTCGCATGGCTGTGCTGCCGCTGAATTACCTGGCGGAGGCGCTGGGAGCGGAGGAGCTCACCGTGCTCCATGGGGCATATTTTAATCGAGGCATGCTGCAGGTTGACTGCAAGGATAAAAGGTCGGCTTGTTGGCTGAGGGAGATCGCTCCCAAGCTAGCAGGCTGAAATGGCCCCATCCTTTGCGCGAAAAAGGGGAACGAAATTCCGCCCATGCATAGCATGAAGGTATTCCTAACCAGATGCGCAGGCAAGTCGTATGAGTTTGCTCTAGGGCTCATCCGCAATCAAAACGATGGTCTCAACACATCGGCCTGGCGGGTGACCAGTAGCATAGCTGAGGATTCAGGGTGGAGGCTCAACCTCTGCATTGATGAAGAATCGTACAAATTCGTCAGGAGGGTGAGCTTCCGAGAAGACGGGTGAGCAAGGGGGGGCGCTACCCTCCACTAAGGATTTTCTGGAGGGGCTCACGAACCTGGCGGGAGGCATCGCGGAGGACGGTGAGCATGAGGACCAATTCCTCATGGAGCCGATCCTGTAGTAGGGCCGCGCTTAGAAGTTGCCCAGGTGAACTTGCACCACGCGGCGTCGGCCTCGGCGGTTATCGCGAGCAGGTTCACGATGGATGGACTGGGCATACTATTGATCCAGGAGCCATGGGTCAATAAAGGAGAGGTCAGGGGCCTCAAAACGGAGTCAAATAAGGTAATCTGGGATAATAGACCTGCATAGTGCTTAGAACCTGCATATTACTTAGGAACGGTATTGACTTCTTCTGTATTTCAGAGTTCTTAGCTCAGGACCTGGTCGCTGTGCAAGCAAGGAACGACGAAGGAGCGGACTTCGTCGTGGCAGCGGCCTATTTTCCGGGGAAGACTCCGACAGCACCCCCAAAGGCAGTCGGCCACCTGGTAGAGTACTGCAGGCGGAATAAGCTGCCCCTCATCATGGGTTGCGACGCAAATGCCCACCACACCGAATGGGGCAGCACGGACTGCAACACACGGCCAGCAGGCAGACTGCTCTGTACCAGCTAACCTCAGAGATCCAGAATTCGTTAGATGAGGGCGAGGTGATGTTATGCGCCTTCCTTGACATCGAAGGTGCCTTTGACAATACGTCTCATGAAAGCGTGTCAAGAGCACTGGAGAAAAGGAGTGTGGCAGCACCAGTGCGCAGATCGATTGAAGCCGTACTGCGCACTAGGGTAGCGGAAACCGCAGTAAGTGATACTAAAATTCGTCTGGGCACAACATGAGGTTGCCCACAGGGTGGAGTGCTCTCCCCTCTACTTTGGAGCCTAGTTGTGGACGAGCTCCTCGAGCGGCTGACTAGCAATGGAAACCGCTGTCAGGGATATGCGGATGACATTGTTATCTTAGCTAGGGGAAAATTCGAAGACACACTCTGCGATATCGTACAGAGGGGACTGGGACTGGCAAAGGGATGGTGTAGTGGGGTTGGCTTAAACATCAACCCCTCTAAAACTACAATCATTCCCTTCACCAGACGAAACTAACTGCCAGGCCTCAGAAGTATATCCCTTGACGGCAGAGTGGTGGAGATGGCCAGCACGGTCAAATATCTAGGCCTCACGCTGGATTCCACGCTACGATGGAAGCAGCACGTTGACCAAACCCTAACCAAAGCTACAAAAGCAATCATGGTGTGCAACCGACTTGCTGGAAAATCGTGGGGGTGCTCCCCAAGGACAATCAGGTGGATGTACACCATGATTGTGAGACCAATTATCACGTATGGAGCGGTACCGTGGGTTGCTAAAGCAATGCAGACTTCAGTAGGACTCAAACTGTCGAAGCTGTAAAGACTTGCCTGCATCTGCGTGTCGGGAGCAATGCGAACGTGTCCGACCGCAGCACTGGAAGTCATACTAGAACTTTCACCGCTACATCTGGTAATCAAACAAACAGCCAAACGAACTCTGCTCCAAATGACATCAGAGGCAGTTGGCAAAGGGAAGGTAATCTCATCCCAGCAGATGAAAGCGCTAAGTGAGGAAATACCACTAGCCCTTCTTCCAAGGGATAGCATTACCAAAGTAGTAAACTTCAACAGGAAGTTCAAAGTCACCCTTGGCAGCAAGTCTGAATGGAATAATTCATGACTGGACCTGCAGCTAAGGAAAAGCACTATCAAGTGGTACACCGACGGGTCGAAAACGGAGGAGAGGATTGGTGCAGGGGTCGTTGGGCCAAGCACCAAACTCTCCATTCCCATGGGAAGTTTCCCGAGCATATTCCAAGCCAGGGTCTATGCTATAAGTCGGTGTGTAGGGATAAACCACCAACGCAACTATCGCAATAAAAGTATTGCTATACTCAGCGATAGTCAGGTGGCACTAAGAGCGATCTCTGCCTATGAGGTCAGATCTCTTCTAGTGCTGGAGTGTAAAGAACGGCTGAACAGCCTATCAGAGCACAACCGAGTGCACCTTATTTGGGTGCCTGGCCACAGGGATATAGCCGGGAACGTACTGACGAGTTGGCCCGCTCTGCGGCCTCTACAAAAATGGTAGGAACGGAACCATTCATAGCGGTTGGTCCACATACAATTTAAGAGCTCCTCCCTAGGGAGGAAAGAGTAGGTAGGAAGACACATTGGCAACAACTTCAGGGCATGCACCATGCCAGACTGCTAATGGGGGATTACGACCTCCAACGGTTCAAAACCATAATAAATCTCCCGAGGAACAAATTCCGGCTGCTTGTCGCGTTCTACACCGACCATTGCGTGCTGAATAAGCATATATGCAACATAGGCTCAGTCTCTTCTGCAAACTGCCGGTTCTTGACATGGAGCCAGAAACCCCAGAACATCTGTTGGTGGACTGCACAGCAGTCTGCAGACGCAGAATTAAGGCCCTGGGATCCATATTTCCAAACAGGGATCGTAGCGCTTCACAAGCACCAAGCAGAATATTGGATTTTATCAACATGCTGGGGCTAGATGAGTCGATATGACTTAGGGGGAGGGAGGGCGTTGCATACCTCTAAACTAATCTATCTACTATGACAGCAGTGTTGCAAATTTGTCAAAGTATCACGTTCTGCGTAAATTTCTGGCAACACTTGCAGCAGTATCACGTTCTTCTGTCACTTTTTACAATTTAAGCAAATAATTGGCAATTGAAAGTATGCTTAATTGCTTAACTAAAATGATTAAAGCTAATGGCTTTTGGACAAATTACTAAAATATTACATGGATTCGAAAATACTCCAGTACAACTGTGGGCTCTGCTGGAGAGGACATACATTGCTCGTGGGAACAAACATGGAGAAATTTTTAAAAAATACGCAAGAAAGTAGGAGTAGAGAAGGCGGACAAATTGTCCACCAAGCAGCGCTTGAACAAAACGCCGAAAAGAAGAAACTGATGTGGATCTTGTCATTTCCAAGAGATGAACGAATTTCAGGAAATGGACGAAAAGGCAGCATTGGAACCTGGCCCGGAAATAACAAAGCAGCAAGCTTTGGACATCTTGGGGAAGCTGATTAAAGACCTGAGAGGGTTTTGCTGATCCGAAAGGCAATGTCAATCAGTCGATCAAAAATCAGCTGGCAAGCATAGAAGGGGTTTTCGAAGAACGCGAGAAGCTGGAGATGCAAGAGCAAACCAAACACCAGACGATGGCTTCACAGCAAGTAAGGGCAATAACAGTAGAGCCAGAAGAAGAGCTGGACACTGGAGTCGTTGGTGACGTTGTATCGGTTGATGGTGACAACGGAGCAAGTGGAACTAGATCTGGAAAGAAGAAAGAGCGAAGTCATTTATAGAGCATCATTAAGTGAGGCCCCGGAAGAACGAGAAGTTATTGTAAATCATCTCCGTGATAAGTTAATACCTTTAAACAAGCGTAACGGTTACTTGAAATATTGGAAGGAGGCATTGAAAGTTCTCGAAATAAATGATAGCAGAATACAATTCGGACTAAAAATTTGTGATGGCACAGAATACCGCACTATGACATGGTTAAGCAATGCAAACTCTAATACACCAAATGGTTTACTTAAGAAATGGCAAAGTCCGACCTTTAGTTATACAAATAAAATTAGTAAACCTCCCACCTCATGCTTGAAAATTCGTCATATGTTTGATTCGACAGAATCAGAAATCCATAATTTAAAACAAATAATAGAGTCTGCTATAATAGAGAAAGTTGGAACCAGGTGTTGTATTCAAGAAATTCAAATTGATAAAAAAAGTTGCTGTGTTTATGTCCGTTGTTGCAGTGAATTTGATGCAGGAGTGGTTCATAACGAAATAAATGGCTGGTGGTTCGACAAGCGTTTAATTTCGATTAAGTTCTTACGTCTCCAAAGATACCTTACACGTTTTCCAGACAGCAAAACCTCCGTGTTTGCGCTATCACAATAAAACAAGTTTAAAATTGTTTGCGGTTTATGTGTGTATATTCCTCAATTTATATTTTAATAAAACAGCAATACTATAGTGTAATATATATGTTTAATCAACAATTCTAATAATACAGTATTCGCCAGATATAAGCACTATCAAATATGCACGCAATTTTGTGCTTATAAGCGGGAAAAACCCGTTTGAAGCACTGAGAGCGCTTATATAATATATGTATAAATCCGGCATCATCGGTGCATACAACCAAAGTTTTCCTTTATGCCAGAACAAACACTTTAATTGAATAAACATTTATAATTTATTTTAAAATGCACGATTACAACATGTCAGTCGCTGTAGCATTCGAGAATATAAATAAAGGAGAAGAAAATTGCCCATTTTTATT